GCTGCCCGTGGGCCACGTGCAGGTCGCGCCAGGCCAGCCAGACCGGTGCCCAGGGGGGAGACCAACTTGGTAAGTTGTTGCCTGGGTGCTTGCCTAGTTGTCACGAGGTGCTACGTGTCGCAATTTCACTGGAGGGCCAAATCTGCCCTCATCAGTACCCAATACTGGTTTCTAGGTCGATGGTTCGATCATCTGATTTGAATGGATGACCCATTTTAATAAATAATTCAAAAATTAAAAAATAATTAAAAATAAAAATGATCATAAACCATTGAACGAATCGATAGTTTGACCGCATGGGTCAATGAATTATTGATCAATTTAATGATTTTTGGCTGATAATCAATTTTAGAGTAAAATGGAACCAATTTTCTGAACGATTTTCGATCCACAAGATTCAACCATCTGGGTCAACGATAATTCGAAAACATTGATTGTACCAGTATGGCAAATACTCGGGTTTAGTATGGGTTTAACTTTACTCAAATCCTATCCGTCTCATTTAAAGTACAGCTATACTCGACTAAGAGTCTAAGACTACCAAGCCTATACATGCATATGATAAAAAGCAGCATTGTGAACGGGTCGGGTTTAGCACGGGTACAGCTCAAACCACCCCGATCGGACACCTAATAAGGTTAATTCTAGCCTCTAGGTTTTCGATCCAAGCTCCATAAGGTCGGGGTTAGTGCGGACTTACTACTTAATCCGACCCACTGACATCCAGAAACCAGAACCCCCCGGCCCCGGGCCCCGGTAAATTTTGCTTGGAAGACAATTTCGATCGTAGACAGCCTCTCTTCAAAAGGTCGGTCAGTCCATTCGTCCTTTGCAGACGATTAAGGACCTTCAGTCACGAGTCACCCTCTACCTGCCTTGAAGAAAACCTAATGATCGTTTTCTTTCTCATCAAATTGAGATCTCTGCGTGGCTTTCCAAGACCTCTGTCCAAGTGCAATCCATTTGTTTCTTGTCTCCACACTCGCTTGGTCGTACCACATAAAGAAAAACCCAGTTGGAACACAAACCATATATTTGTTCTAACAAATCCCCTACTCTCTCTCTTAGAAAGATGCAAATCCATGAACCAGTTGAAGCAAATTCAAGCTCAGATGATCTTAACCGGGTTAATTTCAGACCGACTCGCCTTGAGTCGTTTGATCGCTTTCTGTGCGATCTCGGAATCGGGTAGCCTTGATTACTGTAATATGATCCTTGCTAATACCGAAAACCCAAATGTCTTTTCATGGAATATAGCCATAAGAGGGCATTCCGAAAGTGACAACCCCAAGGAGGCGTTTCTGCTGTATATGCAGATGTTAAGGAACGGTGGGTCATGCCCGGATAATTATACTTATCCCTTCTTGTTCAAAGCTTGCGCTCGGTTGTCATTGATCGGTATTGGTTGTGCGATTTTTGGGCATGTCATGCATTTAGGTTTTGATTCTGATATTTTTGTACACAATGCAGCTATCCATATGCTAGTTTCGTGCGGAGACTTGGAAGGTGCACGGCGATTGTTCGATAGAAGTCGCATAAGAGATTTGGTTTCTTGGAATTCTATCATTAATGGTTATGTTCGGAGGGGGATGCCTGGCCAGGCTTTAGAACTTTTTCGAGAAATGAAGGTGGGCAAAATTGAGCCTGATGAGGTGACAATGATTGGGATGGTTTCGTCCTGTGCCCAGATGGAAGATTTGAATCTGGGAAGAGAATTTCATCGTTATATCGAGGAAAGAGGATTAAAAATGACAATTCCACTTAGTAATGCGCTCATGGACATGTATGTGAAATGTGGGAGTCTTGAGTCGGCAGAATTGTTATTTAACAGCATGACACATAGAACCATGGTGTCATGGACTACCATGGTTGTTGGGTATGTGAAGTTTGGACACTTAGATGCTGCTCGGAAGCTTTTTGATGAGATGCCTGAGAAGGATGTTGTGCCATGGAATGCCATGATTTCTGGCTATGTACAGTGCAATCGCCGTAAGGAGGCTTTGGCTTTATTTCATGAAATGCAGGCAATGAACATAAAGCCCGATGAAGTGACCATGGTTAGCTTGTTGTCCGCCTGCTCACAACTTGGAGCTCTTGACGTAGGGGTGTGGATTCATCATTATATTGAAAAGCACAGCATTTGGATAAATGTTGCTTTAGGCACAGCACTAGTTGATATGTATGCGAAGTGTGGGAACATCACAAAGGCCCTCCAGCTGTTCCAAGAGATCCCTGGGAGGAATGCATTGACTTGGACAGCAATTATAGGTGCTCTGGCCCTACACGGGCATGCACAGGATGCCATTTCCTACTTCTTGGAGATGATTGATACTGGTTTGGTTCCAGATGAAGTTACCTTTCTAGGGGTGTTATCTGCCTGTTGCCATGCAGGGTTAGTTGATGAGGGTCGTCGATTTTTCACTGAAATGAAATCAAAATTCAAAATTTCACCAAAACTTAAACACTATTCATGCATGGTGGACCTCCTAGGAAGGGCTGGCTTCTTGCATGAGGCAGAAGAGCTAATCGACAGTATGCCAATGGAGCCAGATGCTGTAGTCTGGGGGGCCCTGTTCTTTGCTTGTAGAACTCATGGTAATGTTGCAATGGGAGAATGGGCAGCATCAAAACTTCTTGAGTTGGATCCTCATGATAGTGGCATTTATGTGTTGCTTGCCAGCATGTATGTGGAGGCAAACATGTGGGAGAAAGCAGGAAAGGTGAGAGTGATGATGAGGGAGAGAGGGGTCGAGAAAACTCCTGGTTGTAGTTCGATTGAGGTGAATGGCATTGTTTACGAATTCATTGTTAGAGACAGATCACATCCACAGACCCAGGAAATTTATGAATGTTTGATACAATTGGCAAGGCAATTAGAGATTGATGACTATGTTTCTGGTGTTCCTCAAATAAATGTTTCTATAGATAGCTTGCTCTTTTGCTCTTCATTGGTAACTGATGCAGGAATTGATTCTCCATACCCTGGGTCTTTTATTAGAGACCTCTTAGGTAAAGAGATGAACAGAGGGTCAATGATCATAATCACTTGAATCTATACGTGATTTCAGAGGACTCCGGTTGGTTGGCGCTAGATTGTGTTTTCTAGTCTAGTTCTCAAGGAGGTTGTGGGCATGAGACCTAGCTCTATAAAGGCCATTACCCAATGCTGGTCCCAGCTACCGGGGTCTTGGGAGAGGTAGACCGAATACAGACCTAGTTACTGGCATTTTTCCACACAAAGTGGCCGCTGTGAGACTCTAATCCATGTTCTTGTGCTTGTCAAATTGAGATTTTACCATTACATCAAGCAATGGTCCCTATGAGATCTAGCTCTAACATATCATGAAATTGGGCTGACTATGGAGAGGCAAGGTGCCATCTGGTCTCCCTTTAGGTAGTTATTGCAATGGCGAAGCATTCTACTCAAACAACTCCCATCTTTGAAAGATGATGACAGTTAAGGAAATTTGACCATGAGATGCTGTCGTTTCCCCCAGTGGAAAAGAATGAGTCATGACTGAGTTACCTGTTGTCTGATGTGACCAAATTAATGACCGATCAAAATCTGAAAAAATTTGGCCGTTGGGGGCCAACAGCCTTTCCTGTTGAGAGAGTTTCTGGGTTGGGCACGTTAACATGAGAGTGGGCAAATTAGTAATTGCCCGTTAATTTATTTTGAGTAAAAACAAAAGCATGCCTGTGAATTGGTGAACTGCCATGAACGTGAACAGCCAAAATTAACCCATCATACTCACTTATGTTTGAACCCATTTTCTGAATGTCACCTGTAAAAGGCTGGTATATCATCTAAAACTTGGTAGATCTGTTTTCACAAAATTTCAATGGACAAAACATGTTGGGTGATGCATGACCGACAGGAGTGGATTCTTCTGAAAATTGACAGGAGGAGTATTTGGGGTTTGGGGCCTGATCTTTGAGGGGAATGGCTCTGATTTCTAAACTGCCACATAGCCATCCGTTTGACCTCAGTGGACCACAGGTTACTCATCCATGAGGACACTCTTATCTTCCCAAAAGAAAGGAAAGGAACAAACATGGCAAATGCTAGTATGCTACAATATGGAAGTCCACTTGATACAGAAATCTGATAGTAGATAATGTAAAAATGATCGGTCCAAATTAGCTGCACCTGATGGCTGTGTTGGAAAAACTTTAGCTGTTGGGGGCCAACGGCCTATGTTGTTGAGAGAATTTCTGCAAATACCAGTTATCCTGTTGGGTAAATTAATAATTATATAACCAAAGTATAGGCATGAATAGCTGAACTGCCCAAAACGTGCCCAGCCCAAAACTATCTCAACAGCCTCTGCTGTTGGACCCCAACAGCCAAAGTTAAGCCGGCTGTGTTAGCCTGTTGGGGGCAGTCTAACCAATAACAAGGTCCCACATCAGCCATGCACACGAAGAGATTGGAGTGGTTGTGGGGCATATACACTTTATGGCTGATGTGGGGCCTAATGCCTAATTATACGGGCGTTATTATTGGTCAAACAGCTCTCAAGACAGCTATAAGTGCAGCTAATCCCAATTTCATAATAAGTCATATTCTGCCGGTGTAATCATACAATTCTTTTTCTATTGTAGTATTTAGATTTTTGCTGTCATATTAAGTGATCTTTCATGTTTTGGTGTCATTTCTATGACCACTTCTAGAGAGAGAGAGAGTTATTAGAATGCTTTCTGAACAGATATAAGAGAACTTCATTACCATAACTATAGCCTTTTGCTAATGATACCGTTCCCTCTGCTATTCAGATTCAAATATTTCATTTTTCTTTCTTTTGACTATATTGTGAAAGGGTTGATGAGTTGATCATCATGAAATAAAGGCAATTGTATTACAGGCCCGTGAAAGAAATGAATGTCGTCTAGCACACCCCAAGGCAATTGTATTTCACGAGATTTAACCCTCTCTCTCTCTCTCTCATTCAGTTATATCGACCACACCAAATATTGGTCTTAGTCAACATCAGGACCATCCGACCATCTTTTAGGCAAAGTCCTTCTGGTCCTCCAGAACCAAAAGAGTAACAACATTGGTTTTGGGCCCTTTGCTTTGGTTCTCTCTCTCTCTTCAAATTTTCAATCAACATCAGGAGTCGTGACCGTGAAAGCCTTTGCCAAGTTTGTATGAACTACAAGAGTGGAGTTGTGAAGCTTTGTTCCTTCTCCTTTCTATTTCTATATAAACATCATAATTTCTATCACATAATGTTGAAACATGGAATACTTCCTAGTTTGTGGTAAAGGGCTATAACGTCCGAATTCTGTGCAGTTCTGTCTGGTCAGTCCTATTTTGACCATATTATGGGTTGTAAAGGCTTCTGAGCACATGACAAAACCTTCACATGAGATGACAAGAAGACAACCAAATAATGGTGGCTCAGTTGGTAGGGTCTCTTGCTCGTTGTAGAGGAGACTTGGGATTAAGATCCCGCTGCCACCAGAGTTGGCGAGGGTTATGGGTATGGGGGATGGCTCCCCACGCCCACTGTGTAGCCCAATGAACTAAAAAAGGATGACAAGATATTTTATTGCATTTTCCCCCAATAGGGGTGTTTCCACTTTGGTTGTTTTATGTGGCGTCTAGCGGTGTTTAATCGCGCTCGAGCTTATTGTTTAAAAGTTAAAATCATAATAGACAATTGTGTATTGTATCATGTGCTAGGACACTTTATTTTTTCAATTTCTAAAGCTACAATTCAAGTAGATAATCAGTTGAAATTTTATTAAATTGGGTTTAGATCAGAGGCCCCAGGCCCCTCTTCCTTGCTTGTTCACCAGGTTTTCTACAAGTTCATGAAGCAATAGTCATGGCATCACGAACATCTCTCCCCCAGATTACAAGCTTTATATCCCAAACTAAAGAGAGCTTCAGCTTCTTTGTAGTTGAATATGAACTGGGAATGACTCACTTTTTCCTTTGTCATTTACAATGACACCTAAAGTTTCAAACCCGGCATCCCCTGACAACAACATGTCTTCTTCGGGATACGTTAGCAGATAAACAAATTACACTGTAACTTTTGTTAATGTGAGAGACTGATTCCTAACGAATCTCAACCGACATAACCTCCTTTGAGGTTATGTCGGTTTCTTTCAACCATTTTATTATATGTTTAATTAATGTTGTTGTAAACCAACAAGAAACAAAGCTTTGATGGGTTGGGATTGGGTCGACTCATTGAGTTTGGTTGGAAAATGCTCTAATCAAAAGCTTACTTGAACCAATTTGACAAAAGATCCATTTTAACCCTTGCAAATATCAGACAAGTTAGCCTCTGAAGCTTATTTTCTGCTCAACTCTAGGGGGCCCATATGGGCATCTAATTCTCAAATGCCTTTGAATCTTGTGGGGTGACAAAGTTTAGTTCAATTGGAATGTTGTGGAACTCTCAGTGACCATAAAGTAAATAGTTGGTGGGATAGACGCTGACCATAAATTTGCAGAACAGAAAGGGAAAGGAAAACCTTTAAAAACAAAAGAAAAAGAAAAAGAAAGGAAAAGAAGATTGGAGAAGACTTGATTGCATTAAACCATGTAAACTAATTGTGGGTTCCACCAATTAATATATAATACTAAAAAGTACAACCAATAAAGACTAAAATCATGAACCATCAATCCAAAAAAAAAAGTATGTATGAGATAGCACTAGATCCTTGGCCAGTTAAGTTGATGAAATTCTTTGATCTTACTTTCTTTGGTACATTTAGGAGGCAGCAGTTAGAAATCCCTTGGACCCATTAACATTGTTTACTTAGTTTGTAGAAATTTTGGTTTGCTGGAACCTCCATACTGTGTTGAATCCTGATCCAAATGAAACAAGCCTTGTCTCGATCAGCCAAAGCAAAACCCTTGGAATTGGAACCTTTTATTACAGGGACTAACAGAACATTTATGTAAATAGGATTCTATGATTCTATCTCTAGCTGTAGCTGACTAGCTGTAGTACATAGAAGTAGAATATCTCAGTAGGAGAAGCATGGCAGCATCAAATTTCAACAGTTACAGCTTGAGGAGTACAGGCTTTGTACTAGGTGAGAGATCCCAAGTGCAACCACCTAGGCATTGTTGGGCATATACTAAGTAGTTAAAATTAGTGAGCTTTTGTCTCCTTAAAAGCACTTAAATGATGTACACCAAACACAGATCCCTTGTCCTTTGCATGGATCTTTCTACTTCAACCTTTGCCAGCAGCTAGCTCCCAGCCCCAGGTTCTATGTACTATGGTACGACCAATGGGCCTCATGTGAATCCCTGCGGCCCGCCTGATCGTGAGCCCAACGCTTCTCCCGTGTCCTTCACAAGTCTTCACTCACTCTCCAGCTTTTTATTGCACAAAGCCCACCAGGCCACCACATCTTTCGGTTGGGTTTCTTTCAGGCCTTAGAAGTTTGAAACTAGAAACTCGCTTTCGGCCTTTGGGGCCTTGGTTTCAGGCTTTCAGCTAGCTAGGCAGCCGAGCGGCCGGCGCACTTAATGAGGCCGCGCGTTAAATTGAGTGGAACAGTTGGGCGCATTGAAGGCACAGAGAAGAGAAGAGGAAGGAAAAGCAGGAGCTGAGCTCTGCTGCTGGTTAAACGATTTCTTTACGGCGGGGCGTCATAGAAGCGACGCAACCAGGAGTGAAAAAGAGAAGAAGCGTCATGGTTTTGTTGCGTAAACACAAAGCGAAAGCCAGGCCCCAGAGCCCCTCGCTTTTTGTAGACATCACAAGCCCGATCAATTCGCCTGCGCTCTCTCTCTTTCTCTCTCACTCGCTTTTGCAAAAGAGAAACAGTGATTCGTAACGTGATTCAAGGCTTTTGCTTTGTGAGCTCCGGTTTCTGTCTTAAGCCTCATCAACCAGGCCTGGGCGACTGGGCCCTCCATCTGGACGGTCCCACATCATTGATGAAACGTGAAAAGAATAGAAGTTAGTGAGTTACGAGTGAGTGAGTGCCTTCTCATTGAGCCCAAGTCACGAGCGCTCCACTGTGTTTACTGTTTAGCACTCATTGGCTGAAATTTTCAGACAACAAATTTCTCTCCAATTAATGAACACACGTAAGAAGCAGCACAATCAAACTCAAGGGCCTAAATAGAGTTGCCACGTGGCCCGACTCCCCTACACAAACGGAGCGGTTTGCGGAGAAATTATGGTACTAGAGAGAAAATGATGCTAGAAAAGCTGAGAGAAGTATAAGGACCCTTTGGAGTTTGAAGGGCTCAGCTGAGATTCAGCTAACCTAGTTCAACTGCTTTGAACTTTGAAGTGTTCTAATCTCTAGATAAGCTATGGGTCTAATTGGGCTATCCGGATTTTCCACCAAACATAACTTAATAAGCTGTTGTATGGGACCCATTTTGGAAAGTCGGAAGCCACAGCTTCAACAGTCAATACCATGCCAATTGGGAGGGTTAAGCTGAAGATAATCTTTGCTTCACTTGCTTTTGGAGAAGTTACCTCGCTTCAAATAACGTAAGATATGTTTGTTAGACAATTGGTTTAGTGCCTTAGAAGTTGGATAATCTTGACAAGGCGCCACTGATAAGTTATTCAAAGAAGCTAAAGTGGACAGCCCATCAACTGATTGATTGGCCGACAGCCGATTTGGCTCTCCAGATTTTACACCAAATACCCCTTTGGAAGGCTGAATGCAGCGGCTTTTGACTTTCTATGTAGGCTTTATAGGGATAGCCTTTAATAACCTATATTTGATGACAAATTTGGAGAGCCCGAATCACCTGTTAGTGAAACATTTTTTTTTTGGATAATCCGCTTCAACCTCTTTATGTAGTTTATCCGGAGTGTCTCAAAAGCAAGCAGTTGAACCATCTTAGCTGAATGTGGAGCTCAATCCTTTCAAATTATACGCCGTAGGATTCACCTCCAAAAGCCAGAAGCCGCTAACATTCAGTCTCCCCAAACGAACACCAAATATAGGTAGTGTTTGGTATTATTATCATTTTTTTAAAAAAGAGTCACTTCCTCCCATAATACGTTCCAAACAGTCATCGAAAAGCGTTGTTAATCTGCCCAACCCTTAAAAGCTCTTCTTAATTAGTTATCCGGTTAATTCAAAGAGAGAGAGAGAGAGATTGATTGGTGTCAAAGTATTGGATATCTCTTGTGGCCACGTGAAGCAAGAATCATTTAACATTCCCTTGTATTTTATTAATGAACAATTTTTTTAATTATAAAATTATAATTCAATGGCAATATTATAATGGTACATACATGGGTATTCCTTGGACATTCTAACGTGTGGGTCCCCAATACAAGATTTCTTAGTTGGATAGATTGTCATTGTCTGACCCAATAGGAAGCTAATAAACGGCTATGATCATCTTGGGCCCACTAACTATACCCTAAATTGGTGAAGGCTTTTCCACTTTGCAATTTGCATTGTTAGGCTGTCTACTACACTCTACTCTAATTATCCCTGTGACTGGACAAGAGATGTCACCTCAACCCTGCTAACCCATCGGTTTAACCACAACGGCCCGGCTTTATTGCCTGCTTAGCTCTCACCAGATCAACCTTTTTTAATATATTGGTCTTTATTCTTTACCGTTGTTGTCAGACCTGGATCGGATTAGATGGTCAAACCGGTGGACCCATTTAGCTTTCTGAGTGCTGTTTCTTTTTTTACGGTTCAATGGTTGGAATGATCAACTCGCCAGTTAAAATTTCAAACCGGTGGCCCAGTGACCTTTTCAATTTATTTTTTCTGAACCGGGTCTGACACTGACAGTACTCGTATTTACAACTTTCCACCTCAGAAATCGGTTCATTACCAAAAAAAACACTCAAGTTGGTTTAAAAAATGGTCCGGCTTGGAATTGAATATTTCAAGCCGAACCCAATTAGGCCCGACCAGAACCATTGGAATGTGTGGCTTTTATTCCCATTTACGTCACTCTTTACTTCATTCTCTCTTTTCCACCTGGAATGTCTCAACCAATTAGGGCTATTAATGGATCAAAGCCCTAATTACAGGAGTGATGGACAAAACAGCGATCTAGACGCTCCAGGAGATTTTGGTAGGCGGACTACACACTGTATCACCAAATATTAAAATAATTAACAAATAAATTCCGATAAAATCCTGTCTTTTTTTTTGTCGAATCAACGTTTCGCGAGAAATCGGAGTTTCTCGTCTAGTTGGTGTCGCGTGTCGCTGAAACCAGCATAAAAGCGCCACAACAGAGAGAGAGAGAGAGAGAGAGAGAGAGAGAGAGTTGATACAGATAGAGAGAAACTTCGAAGCTGAAGAGCTCGAACACGACCGTTTTTCTCTAATCTAAGCTTATAAAACATACACTCGTGAACAGATCAATGTCGGTTCCTAAATCTCTCGCTCTCTCTCTTATTTTATTGCCTGGAATTTCAATTTTCTGAACTTTTAGTCTTTTTTTCCTCTTCTTTGATCTGTTTGATCTTCTATTTCAACACATTGGCGTGGTTTCTTTTTTTCCGTTTGTCAATCGATCGAGCAATCTCAGCATTGTTGGTTTTCTGGAAGAATTCATTGAACATTTGATGGAAAATGAGGTATTAATGACCTTCTTTAGTTTCGTGGAGTGGTTGCAGAAACGAAAATGTCAATGGAGATCATGTACTGATTTCTTTAACTGCATTTTCTATGTTTTTGGACGTAAAATCTAATTTTCCTTAAATTCTTTTCTGGTTTTCGTAGTTCTTTTTTTTCCGGAGTGATCTCAGAAAATCAGGAGAAATCTGACAGAGGTATGCAGAGTTGTTGTTAAATGAGGTGTGGTGCCTTCGTTGCCTTGAATCTCATCATTTTGGCGTTTCTATTAAAGATGTTACGGAAATGTCTTTAAAGATTGCGTCAGTTTGCTCGGGAATCTAAGATTTGGTTTCTGTTTTGTTGAAGAGTTTCAGAAAACCGAAGACAGCGATCAATGCTGATTGATGTCTTGTGAGCTTGGAGTTCTGTGCCCTAGAATTTAGAGCTCTAGGTAATCTTTTGCAACTATTTCCGGTGAATCAGGATTGGATCGACTAAAATGTCCGAAGCTCGTTTGAATGTGCTATAGTTTCTGCTTTGTTGGCTTATGCCGTCCACCAATTTAAGTGCTTTAACTGCTCTTGGAACATTCACTCAAAGTTAATTAGGAGGAGCGTAATTCTTTAACAATACCACGTGATGAGTTGTAACTGTTAGTTCTAATTGCTCTGTTCTGTTTTTGTTTTCTGTTCAGATAATTGGAGAAACAAAGAGGTGAAAGTAATTGGCGAACAAGCGATGCTTTTGAGTTATATCTAAATCAATCAGTACTTCTGATTTTGTGTGAATAAAAGGTAGCCATCGAGCAATTTACGCATTTGAGCTTTGTTTATGGTTTCTTTTTCTTCCCCTGAGGCCAAATTACTTTTCTTAATTCTCATGTTTAGGCTTGCTTTTCTGTAGACATCGAAAAGGTGATTCGACATGAACGGGAACAGGCAGATGGAGGTTCATTACATCAATACTGGATTTCCATACACTATTACGGAGAGTTTTATGGATTTGTTTGAAGGCCTCACATACGCCCAGGCAGATTTTTCTCTTGGAGGAGCAATGCATGATCAGGTATTTCTCTTTGCCATCTAGGTTCTAATTCCTTGGTTTTTAAAAATTGGCAAGTAGCTTATTGTGGGGGTTCCTTACGCTTTCAATTACTATCAAATTTAAGGCTGAAAAATTGATATTATAGATGGATTGTCGATGGTTGAGAAAATCGATATTGCAAAGCAGTGCAGGATGTTTAGTCCATCTCTTTAGAATGGTTAAAAATTTGACGCACATGTTTCCTTCACATAAAATCCCTTCCTTAACAGTGAAACCGTTTTTACATAAGATTTATTTTCTTTTGCTGCTATATGTTTGCAGGAAAGTGCATACTGGTCAATGCATGCAAATTCATACAAATTTGGATTATCCGGCCCAGGAACAACTTCATATTATGGCCACAATTATACTTATGAGGTAAATGATCATATTCCAAGAATGGAACCTAGTGGGCAAGCTTGGGAGAACTCAGCAATGATGAGCAATGAAGAGCTGACACCAGTAGATATGCGTGGAGGAAATGGCAGCACAACTACACATGTTACACCTGAAGACTGTATGTTAACTCTAAGTTCCCTTCACCTGTTTTATTCTCACTTATGGATGAAAATATTTACTGGAACCATGGTGCATTTACTTTATTATAGAAGCTATCAGCAGTTTGGTAAGAAATCAACAAATAATATTGACATTCACATCTTAAGGAATCACTTTACATTATTAAGTTACCAAGAAATTTTTCTATTTGGTGTTCTGAGCTCTTTCAATCAAGAAACATCTGTTGAAAAGATGCTGTTAATCACCTATCGGGTAACTCAATAGGTGATTTCACCTATTGCAAAAGCTGCTTCTGAAATGTAATGTCATCCAATTGTTTATGAACAATGATATGGCACATAAGCAAGAATCTTGTGAGCAGCACCAATATGCATGGCCCATCAACATCATAGATCCTATAATTTTAACTCTTTAAATGGATAAGTTTGACTTTTGATCATCTTGGATTTTAATTGCTTCACTTTTTTATAGTCTTATTGGTTGTTTGTCATTGTCAGCATGTGTTGGTCATTATGTCTGTACTCTTCCAGTGGGTTTGAGTCCTTTTGTTGTGTTGGCCTTGATTGTGCTTGTTGACAATAGTATTATTTGGATTGACCCCTTAAACTTCCCAACTCTTAAATTGGTCTGCCCTGGTATTTGCCTGCTTTTTGTATGTAGCTGTGATTCATGATTCATGGCAATCCATGTCAAAAGGAGAGTTTTAGCATATTCAAACAACCATCTTTTGGTTAATTGGTTCTAGATATCATCTCAAATTGGCATTAATTTTTTAATAATAACAATTATTTCGTTTAGTTCAGCATCACCTTCCCAAACCAAGGTATCTAACTGTGGCTTAGTTATGCACATGAAAGTCAAATCACCAAATAACCTGGGAATCTCCTGGGTTATCCAATTGAATCCAGCATGAGAATCAGGTTCCTTGATCATTTATAGCTTGTTTTAATAGGTTTTTCATGCATAGGCAATGTTGAATGTCTAAAGCTTCAAGCATGGGACTTTCAAGACATGAAGCATGAGAATGCTCCCATATGGTTTAGTGCATGATTACAAAAGCAGAATCAGTCATAGCCCATCTATAAATGCTTTGTTCATGTTTCTGTGCTCTGGATGCCTAGAAACAGTACAAAAATAGATGTGAGATGATTCCATCCATTACTGTATTGGAGTTAAACCCATCTATGATTGCAGGCCTTAAGGCGGGTGGTTACATTTTAAGTTTATAATGTTATGATATCTTTATTTCATTTACGTTCCTCTCTATTTGAAATTCTATTCCAAATTGTGTTTCTTTTTGAAGATTTGGCATTTTAGTGTGCATCCATCTCTAACAGGCATCCTTCACTTTTTGCAGGCATTCGAAATCAAAATAATACTAGTAGTTCTCAGGTATTAATCTTGATTGTCAATTTTCCCCACTTTATTTTCCCTCTCCTCTGGACTTTGAACCCATTTATAGTGTTCTCAAAGGTAAATAATTAAGCCATTCCTTTTTCTATTTCACTTTTTGCAGATGTTTTGGCAAGATAATATTGACCCAGACAACATGACTTACGAGGTTTGCCCCAAATGATTTTGCTTTCTTACTGTTTTCTTTTCTTACAATGTTATTGAAGGGCATTGCTTGACAAACAACTTGTGCTTTCATATCTAGATGAACATTATGTTCAATTTTTTTATCAGTGTTCTGAAAGTTGTACCTAGGTAGACAGGCAAGGTGCATTTTAAGGCACACACCTGACATTAACCCAAGTGGTGCCCCTTTCAAGAGGTGTGAGCCTGTGCCTGGATTGCCTTTCTCATCGGCTCTTTTTGTTTAATTTTTTATGTGATTTATACTTTTGTAATGGTCTATTAAGTTTTACAAGAAACAAAAATAAAAAATCCTTTTGAATACCTGAAGCCCTAGACCCTAGTTGTTGCAGATAGGTTCTCAGATAACAAAATTTTCACTAAATAAGCATCAGAAATACAACTAATCTTTGATCCCTACCCTAAAATAGAATGAACTATGGCCTAAATCACAAAAACTACTTGAAGAAATGCAACCAGGAGATTATCTTTGGTTTTTTTTTTTTTGATAAATTGCAACCAGGAGATTAGCAAACACATTGAAGAGTTTCATATGCTTGAATTGGTATGATCTGCATCTGTTTCCTTTCATTTTCAATTTGAATTTGTCTTATAGTTATGCATATGTGTTTTGCACTTTTCTTTGTCCAGGCACATTCCTATTCTTGTGCCTCAGACACTAGAAGGCCCTTGCACATTTCTGTATCTCTCAATTTTAAAACACCACATTATTGTATCGTTTTATTGAACTTTATTCTCAACATTAAGTAGCACTTCTGCATTAGTTAAAGGAAAATCTTCTTTTCTTGAATGAACATCTTCTTTTGTAATCCTTGGTTAAAGGAAAGAATATTTTCCATGCCTTGAAACATGAGGATGTATGGCTAACATACATGCTTGTACTATACTTATGACCAGGTCCATGTATTAACCTACAAGTTGCATATATTGATTATCATTCTGCATCAAGTTTTTGAATGCCATAAATATAGTTTTGGGCTCAGCTCATGTTGCTAAACCACAAGAAGAGGACAATTGTCACATCACAATTCTGCTCTGCAACCTTGGGTGAACTCATGCAGATAGTTACTGGTTAGATGATCGATTTTGTATGTCCAATTGCTTGTTAAATGAAGATGATATGGATTTATTGAATGCATGGTAGGATGAAAACCACCTTGTGATGGTCTAACTGTCTAAGAGCAGGCTTAGTCTACCTACGTTTGGTGGACTGCATTGAGTGGCATTATCATAAATTTAGCAATATGATCTTTTGGCATCCTCAATGTCTTCTTCAAGCAGAGTCTCAAAAGTTTAACGTCCTCTTTGAGGAGGGGTGGTTGACCTCGTCAGATGCCTACCCTTGGCACTCCAAAGACTACAAATCCCTCGCAGAGTGGCCCTAGTTAATGCTACATATCTCTCAAGGTTCCTAATGGGTGCATACATGCTCAAACGCTCATGGGGACAATGCATGGATTGGCACTACACCTCATGTGGGTTGGACATAACTATGCCCCATCACTACCAGCTCCATGTCTAAGCTGATTGAGTTATCCCTTGCCACAACATTCAGGTGTGTTCATGGCCTAGCAATTGCCTAACATTGGCATTATTGGCATAGTCCCCCTTTGACACATAAGCAATGCCTGCCACGGAATGGCATGAGCCAGAGAAGAGCTCTGTCCATGCGCAATGAGGTCATGATCCAATGCCATTGACCTTATTGGAGCCACCAATGGGCTTCCCTTGGCCTTTACATCACAAAAGGTTTGTCCTTGACACACTAGTTTGGACGCATCCTTGCACTGATGGATCTTTGGGTTGGAAGACTTAATCCAAGTGGATCATGCAAATGTTTCAGCTGAATAGTTCGTTTGTGTGGTTTGTTTTTCTTGTTTTTGTTAATCTGTTTTTCACTTCCTCTAGTTAATTATGAATAAATCTGTGCTTCTGGAAAATGGCTAAGATGTCATCATGTTTTATTGAGTGATTATTATGGATTCAGCTAGTCTTTCTAATTTTTCTCAAATGTTCACTAATATTTATTCTGTTATTATCTTTAGAAAACAAATCATAGTGATAACCTTACAATGAAAGTTTTCTGATGAGTATCTAAGTGGAATATCTTTTGTAGAGAGTGCCATTTTGGCTAAAACCAATACCCAAAATTGTAGAAACAAGATTGCATCATGACATTTTGAAAATTAGCAATGTTTGAAATTGAAAGTTTTCAAACTTGAAATTGGGCTTGTTGTAGTTTTCTTCAATAGCCTAATACAAGTGTTTGCATCTCCTCAGAAAACAATGACCTATTTATTTGTTCTAGTTGTTAGTTGTTGACTCTCAATGCAAACCTTAGTTTCTCTAATGTATCATTGTTGGCTTACCAGTGTCTCTGTGGTGAAAAAGTGTCTGTTGCATTTTCCGTCTGCTTCTTTCTGAGGACGTTATTGTCTCTATACTTTCTCAATTATAAAGTTAAAGCAGATCATTCAGCAGGGGGATTATTTCTCTTATATTCATGATAATATCTGCAATACTGTATAGAATTGCTCTTGTGATTGATAGAGAAATAGCATGACTTTGGTTTAATTTATTTTGGAAGACAATTTTTACCACATTTGGTCATTAGCTATTAGATGTGGTTTATCAGTATGATACTTTACCTGCTTCTACTAGCATAATGATAACCACTAGTTAGATCGGCATATCAATTAACTCCAAACTGAATTTTGTGGAGTTGGGATCTCTGGAAATGCTCAGATTACAAGTTTCACTAATCAAATTTGTTTTTGAAATATCTTCACATAAAGACCTTAGACTTAACTTTTTATCAAAATTCCTATTGATTTAAATGATGAAGACCTACTTACTTCTTCTAAGTGCTCTCAATTTCATTTTTCTTCATAATCATGCATAATTTGGTTGATAAGTAACGTAATTTTTCATCACAGGAACTACTTGATCTAGGTGAGGCAGTTGGAACCCATAGTCGAGGTCTTTCTCAAGAACAGATTTTGCAGCTTCCAATCTCAAAATATAAGTGTGGGTTCTTCTCAAGGAAAAGATTCCGGGGGGAGAGGTAAATTTTAGGCTTCTTACTGCTGTTTCCTTGAAATTACAATAGTATCTTTTCCTCCCTTTTCATCTGGAGCTTTAAATATTTAATTAATGCTCTAAAACATCAATCTTAACTTTTGTTTTCTCATCCAATTCTTGAAGTTATCTGATAAGCATATATGTTTATAACTAATCTCATTCCTGTTGGCAAAACAGAATCAGCTCTAGTTTAGTAGGCTTAACTATGGCAGGTTTATTGATGATAACTGCATCATTAGTAGTTACATAGCATGCATCAGATTGGAAACACAGAAAGCTAAGCTAGCCTTTTGTGACAACAAAGAGATATTGAGGCTCATGTGTTTTTATGTTTTTGTTAAAACAAGTCTATCAGTAATTGCAAGTAGGGCTGTCAATTGGATTGGATTTGGTCCAATCTGGTCCAGTCCAACATCGGTCCATTTACAAATGGACTGGACCAAATCCGGTCCAATTGAAATGCAAATGGACCGGATTGGACCCAATTCAGTCCAAATTAAATGTTTTCCATACTTAAAAATCAACATAAAAGGATAAGATTTCATTTCACACAAGCAGTTTATCGTGTCATCTGAACTGATTTGAAAGCCATTAATGTCATCTGAAAGCCATTAAAAGTGAACATAAAAGGATATGATTTCATTTCACACAAGCAGTTTACTGCATCATCTGCCGATTCAGTTGTGGGTCACTACCATTAACGTCTCAATAAACCTTCTCATCTCTGTGGCTCTATAGTAATCAATTATCAGGGATGATACCAGAATCTATTGGGAATTGTACTAAATTGGAAGAACTCTATCTTATTGAGAACCAGCTAGTTGGAGTTTTGCCTAAGAGCCTAAACAATCTTCAGTTCCTTGCTTACTTGGATGTCAGTTCCAACTGACTTGAGGGCAAGATAAAGTTGGGGGGTTCAGGTAGTTGCAGGAATTTGCAGGAGTTGGTCTTGACTTACAATCAATTTGATGGAGAAACACTATCAGGCTTGGGCAATTGCAGTGGCTTAAGATTCTTGGCAGCTCTGGGTAATAAATTAACAGGTAAGATCCCCTCTTCCTTTGGATTACTAACTAAATTGGAGATACTTTACCTCAATGAGAACTCTTTGTCAAGGGTAATTCTACCAGAGATTGGGACCTGTAGTTCCTTGAAGGAATTACTCTTGCAGAAAAACCAACTCGAAGGCATTCCAAGTGAGTTGGGATCTTTGAGTAAATTAGAGGAACTTGCGTTGTTTACAAACAGATTGACTGGAGAGATTCCAATAAGCATTTGGAAGATTCCAACCCTCATATATCTCTATGTCTATCAGAACAATTTGTCTGGGGACTACCTTTAGAGATTCCAACCCTCAATGTCAGTGATGATGAGGCAGAAAAGGGCCCTAATGCCGCAGAGGCCTTGAGGGCTCAGGTGAATGCTGAAGAAAGAGATGAGCAAACTTCAAGTTCAAGTGGGAGCAGTGAGAATAGCAGTGGGAATGGGAGTGGGAGCAGTAGCAGTGACAGTGAAGCAGGTGATGAAGATTCAGTCAATTCTATCTGAAATATCAAAGTAAGGTGGGGTTAACTTTTATTTAAACACCCCAAATAACAGGTCTTAAGATACAATAAAAACAAAAATGCACTCTGCAATCGGTCAAAGGGAAAAGCAGAAAAAACAAGTAAAATGTTCCTCCATGTTAGGGAGCATATTTGGGTCATGCAGGAATATTTGTGCAGGGTGCTTTAGTGATTTTTACCTACGTTTGTATGGTCTCCAAACTCCCATTAATATCTTTTCATATCTTTTATAACTCTGGCTTGTAGAATTTGACAGAGCAGTAGTCCACTGTAGCCAATCCCTCATATACCATCACATGGCTGATATCTACTTCCACAGGCTTTCTAATGAGAGCAACCCTTTAGAGCTTTTTTCTATTCTATGTACTTGTCAACACATGAACTTACCTTAGAGATCAAGTGTAAGACATCATATGCATAAACTTCACTTAAAATGAAAGAGTAAAAAGCCCAAATTGAAAAAACAAATTTAACATCTAAAAGTATAGGCATCAAAGGCCAGAATATAAACAGGAAAATCAATTATTTTAGGCAAAAAAAAACTTAAAATCTAGTCAATGATGATATTTTTTTGTTAGGTATGTTAAAAAACAAATTTATTGTTCATGGTCCAATCAGTGAAGTGGGTTTTTCAATTACATATCCAATCTAATTTATTGTCCTAAAAGAAATAGAAAGCCTAACCCAAATGATCAAAACCTGGTAATCCCAAACAATAGTTAAATATATGTACAGGGTCAGATAACTATGAATACAGTTGGGCAAATGTTCAAAATATCACAATGTATCAGTGAACCCCTCTCAACGTAACTGTTAGTACATACTGAACTAAACAAACAAAAAGAAAAAATAAATAAAAAACATTTCCCTTTGGAAACTCCCATTTTTCATATCATGAGTGTCTATACAATGAATCATGCATTTGGCTTTCTAAATCAGAAAAAGAAAAGAAAAGAAAAGAAAAAATCTGAATAAATCTATCACTCTTTTAACTGAATCATGCATTTGGCTAGAATGACTCCCATAGGTACCCACAGTAGCACTGCCGACACGTTTAATGGTGTAGGCCTTGCCACCGCCCGTCCGTCGTGGAAGATTAATGGCTTCGGATAATCCTTTCTCGGCAAGGATGGGGCCTTCTCCTCCACCAGAACAAAGTATACTTACTGCAAGTGACAATGACTCAAATGTGGGGGAGAGAGAGAGAGAGAGAGAGCACATGGCATCAGGCATGGTGAAATAACAAAATCAGGTGATCAAACGAAATACCATCGTCCGCTGGGGAGACTGAGGATGGAGCGATGGAGGCACAGAGACGCTAAACCCTAGCCTTCGAAAGCTTCCACACTTGATTCTTCAAAGTTCAAACGAAAATGAACATTGAACGGACCATTCGAACTAGTGGTTTTGTCCACTTTCGGTCCATTCTATGAATGGACTATTCATGTTCGGACCGGTCCGCGTCCATATCATTTTTAGGACCGTCCAGTCCGTCCATATCACTTCCAATTCGGACGGTGTCCAACCCGAAACCGGTCCATTGACACCCCTAATTGCAAGGGCATTATTTCATGAAACAAAGTTTGCATGGAGCAGAGATTAGAAAAGAAAAAGAAATGCCCATCATGAAATGGAAATAATACCATGGGGTACTAATGCATTGACGAATGAAATGTAAAAGTCAATATGCAAGTGCATAATTGGTTTTTGTATGCACTTTGAATCTTCAAGGGGCAACTTCCTAAATGACCCTCTTTGACTTTGTTTTTGGTCATTATTGTATGTCTTGGTGTAGCTCTTACAAAAATTTGCTCTTTATTAGGAAATTTATATAGGTGGTTATGTCGTGGTGATCCAGATTATTTGCAAGAAAAGTTTCTTGTCCCCTTCACCTTCTTCTGTACTCCATTAATGAATAATAACTCTTGCTATTGCTGGAAGACAGATGTGTGATTTGTCAGATGGAATATAAAAGAGGAGACCGGCAGATGACCTTGCCGTGCAAACATATCTACCATGGCGGCTGCATCACTAGATGGCTCAGCATTAACAAGGTCAGCTGAGAAAGATATTGATTTAAATTTGACATGGTCTGTAATTCATAAATGTACATATATATCCTTTTCTCCCTTCTGACCTATCTCTTTTATTTTGTTTCTCTTTTTAATCAGGCATGCCCGGTTTGCTATACAGAGGTAGTTGTCAAGGAGTGACGGCACTGAAACTGTCAGCTCTGAGGAAAAGGAGCAATGCCCTGCAATCTGTTTTTACTGCTTCAAACATGTTCTGTTTCCACGGTTTTGGGTTTTGGTTTCCGTTAGTGTTAAATGAGGCCCCAGTATTCTCTTTTTCTTCTTGTTCTTTTTTATACGGTTTCCTTGAGTAGGACTAGCCTAGCTTGAAAATAATTGGATATGATGAACATTTCAAACCTGATTTCTCCACTTGGAGGATGGAATGTATGTAAACGAGTTTCGTTTTGATTCTTATGTGGCTTTCTCGAACTACAGTGGTTATTGACACGAGTGTCTTCAGCTTGATATTACCAGAGATGGGGTCATGACAGAATGTTAGCTTTGCTTTCATAAAATTGTTGTCAATGGTGACTGTTGATGCAAAGTTGCTTTCCCAAACGGGTCCATGTTGATGCCAAGTTTCGTCAGAATAGGTCAAATTACTCTCTTTTCACAGTGAGAAAAGAGAGAGATCAATCGTTTTTGCTTCAAGTTCTGAAGTGGGAAGGCAGGCGTACAACTCAACTCTATTGCTTCACTCATCATCATGGAGGACGCTTGTATTTTATTTACCGTTAGTCGACGTGTTATAGTTTTCGAAATTGGTTTGGTCGTTGGCTTGATTATATTATTTGAATGTGGATGAATTAGAAATTTAGAATCTTCACGTGCTGGTTTGTTTCAGACTGGTAATGCGAATGTTTATTCACAGTATCAGGATAATTCTCACACGTTCGTGGAATTGACACTCTAGTTCGTGCACCGTGTCACGGTGTGAAATAATATTTTTAGCCGATAAATATCCTATAATATAATATTCTCTTGTTGTTTATTAACATGCACACAATAACATCTTTATCTAACAGGAACATCTTATAATATTCTCTTGAGTCTTGACCCTATGAAATGCAAAATGGAAATATAAATATGACAACCAGGTGCACAAGACGAATACACATGATTTTCGAGGTGACCCCTGTTAACAAGCTAGTCAGCCGCTTTGTTTCCTTCACTCCAACCAATGGAGGAAGGAACGCATACAAGTTTGTGATAGACTTTAATTTCCCAGAGTTCACATCGACTAAAGTTGCAGGTCTGCTGGGCATCTGCCAAAGGTGGGGTAGGTGATGGACCTGATGGTGGGGGAATGGAACACTTTTAGGAGTGTATGTATGGGGATAATGGTTCTAGAGCCAGAGGTGGTGACTTGTAATAGTTTAGTAACTAGTGAAGGCGATCAGTATGACGATATGGTAGTGACACTTAGCGGCAAGGTGGTGTGGTGAAATGGTGTAAATGATGGGATGGTGGTGGTATAGGTGATTTTAATGGTAAAGGTAAGGGTTGGGATGGTGACAAGGGTGGACAATTGCATGTAGGTGGTGGTCGTGGCAGTGGAAGAAACAGTGGTAGATAGTAGTACTAATGTGATGGAGGTAGAGAGGATGGTCAAAGTAGTGATTTGTAGTAGTAAGGTGGATGTGGTGGTGGTGATGATTTATAGATATAAGGTGGAGGTGGCAAGAATGGTGGTAGTGGTGGTGATTTGTACTGGTGGAGAGGAGACCTTGATGGGGTGATGGTGAGGGTGATGGAAATGTGGTCGACGTTGGAAGAGGCGGGGTGATTTATAAATATAAGGTGGTGGTGCAATAATATAAAATGGCAATGGTGACAATAGAAATGGTGGTGGAGGAGACTTGTAATGATAAAGAGGTGGAGGTGAAGGGTGGAAGTAAAGGAGAAGGTGCAAGTGATGGTTTGTAATGAGGCGGAGGAGATGGGGACTTGATTGGTGGAGAGGGTGATGGAAATGGAGTTTGATGAGACTTGTAATGATAAAGAGGTGGAGGGGAATGAGATTGTGGAAGTGGTGATCTGTGATATATTAGAGGAGGAGGTGGTTTGTATTGGTAAGAGGGTGGGGGAGAGGGTATACGTGAAGGTTTTGGAGTAGATGGTGATGGCAATGGTGGAGGTGGAGATTTATAATGGTAAGGGGGTGGGGGAGAGCGTATAAGTGAAGGTTGTGGAGGAGACCTACTGTTGAATGGAGGTGAAGGAGAGGGTGATGATGAAGATGGAGTTTGAGGAGAGATATAATGATAAGGAGGTGGAGGTGAATGAGATTGTGGGGGTGGTGATGTATAATAGATTGAAGGAGGAGGTGATTTGTAATGGTAAGGGGGTGGAGGAAAGGATATAGGTGAAGGTCGTGGAGGAGACCTACTGTTGGAGGGAGACAGAGGGGACTTAATTGGTGGAGATGGAGTTTGAGGAGGCTTGTAAAGATAAGGAGGTGGAGGTGAATGAGATCGCAGAGGAGGTGATCCATAATAGATTGGAGGGGTAAGTGATTTGTAATGGTAAGGGGGTGGAGGGGAGAGTATAGGTGAAGGGTACTTATTGGGTGGAGGTGAGGGAGAGGGTGAAGAAGGTAGGATAGAGTTGTTGTGGTATGGTGATGGAGATGGAGGGAACTTGTTATGATATTGTGGAGGTGAAGGAAATGGCGGGGAAGGTGATGTATGGTAGAATGGGGAAGGTGGTGGTGAACTGTAGTAATATGTAGGGGGAGATGGAGATTTATTGTAGTAAGGTGGTGGAGGTGGTGGTGAGGTAAGGGGTGGTGGATACTTGTCGTAGTAAGGAGGAGGTGGTGAGTAGTAGGGTAATGGGAAGACAAAAGGGAAGGCAGCTTCCTTGCTGGATATTGATGGACTCAAGATCAATACCACCACAAGCCAGAGACATGCTTTCCCTAGGCTCGCCATGTCTGAAATGATGATCAGATGGCTCTTGCTGCACTAGAGCTCTCTTTGTCCAAGCAAAGAGTACTCTGAGTTACAGGTTTTATGGAACAAGCTGTTATTATACTCTTTATATAAGGGAATTTTTTTTGAAGAGGTCAAGTGCCTGGATATTTATATATAATAGATGTTATTTTCTCCAATTTGAGAATCAAACATCTGTGGACATTTCTTCTCTTCTTTGCTCACAGAGGTTGGGTTAGAAACTTAGAACGAGTGAGACAGGAGCTTATTTAATATCAAGTAGGTGTTTTAGGCCATCTTACATTCTACCCAATTACTCAAGTGACTGATTCAACCGAAAAGATCAAATCCCTGTGTTTTGAAAATAAAGAGACAATGTCCTCTGTCGCATTGTTTCGTCAAAATAACTAAATAAAGAGACTAAAAAAATAGAAATATTTGCATCATGAGAGATGTCAAGCCAAAGGTTCTCTAGCAGTCTAGCTAGACTAGAGGATCTGCTACTTGGCACATAATTGGCAGGCCATGTGGAGGGATGACTGATGTGGTTGATCAAGACTATCCGTTCAGATAAGGGCCTCTCTATGCTGATCATAAATTCACCTCTCAGCCCTTTAATTAACAATTCCATGAAATTTTGAAAATTTGGAAATTTGAAAAATTATAATTGAGGAAGCTTTGATTTGCCAAGGTTTTACCGTATAGCAGGATTGCTATAAGTCTGGAACTGAACTGGGAAGTAGAAACATGAATAGATAGTAATGTGGGGCTCATTTGGATTCTTTTCTTTTTCTTTTTAATTCTTTTTGCTGGTTATAATGAAGCTTAACTACCAAAGACTACTGACACTGTATAGTACATTTACAATACAGAGATAGAGTTATCTCTCTTTATCAACAGAACAAACAAGTTTGGACTTTGAAATCTTTTTTTATTAATTCTTTTTTGTTGGTTATAAACAAGATTAACTACCAAAGACTATTGTATGGTATATTTACTCACTCTCTCTCTCTCTATATATATATATGAGGACATGTTTGAATAAGCTTTTGGGCTTTGGGCTCTTGAAAACAAAGTGAGCTAAATAGTGATCTGAGCACTTGGTGAGAGTTGCTTTTAAAAACATTATAATTTAAAACCAGCCTCAAAGCAAGGAACAAATCCTAAAATTTATCCAAATGCAACCTTAAGTTACCATCAAGAAAAAAATCAATCAAGATAGTAGAATTAATGCTAAATGGAATAAAAAATATGGCAATTCGTTGATTGTTGATTAGAGAGGGCATAATACTTCATTCTCTTAAGTATATGTTTGGCATCAATGCTGTAGAAAACGGTGCTGTATATGTGTGGGTTGGACGCACCGTTTTTTGAGAAAATGGTATCTTTTTTTGTTTGGAAACATTGCTGCCAGGTAGGACATTTCCTGGAGCAACAGCAATACCTTTTGTTTGGTACCAGTGCTTCATACATGTTTTAAGCACCGGTACCCATTATAGGAAGTCCATGTCACTGCCACATCATGTCTTCATTGGCAGCAATGAGCTCCAATCTGAGAAAATATCGAATTCAGTGTTGCTCCAAACTACGCCTTCTTGATTTCCAAGACATGGCTTGGAGCACCGTTTTTTATGGGAAAATGGTTCCAAACATATTAACGTTTCCTGGAGCACCAATTTTTCCAATATGATGCTGATGTGTCACTGTTTTCTGGAGCAAGGCATAGATGCCAAACAGACGCTAATATAATCTCATGAATGTTTAGTGTATATTTTGAAAGGGTCGTTTTAATACTTTAAGTTGTTCAGTTTATCCGAGTGGTTGAGCTAAGATAGGAAGTGTGGTATCTTCCACGCTTGACAAAGAGGTGTGGATGTGAAGTTTGACGTGGCAAATTTTAGACTATTAATCACATAGAGGATCCCATTTTTTTGGCCTCAAATTCATTTTTCAGTCCACATCATCTCAACACCCATCCATGTACTTGAAGTAGAACCTCCAACTTTATTTCTAGAGAAGGAAAAGGAGCTTAACTGACCAAGTCATATCCTAGGGGCAGGCAATATGGCTGGATTAAGCTTAACTGACCAAGTCAGAGAAATATATTGGTATTGAATCACTTACTTTTAACTTATATGAGCCATATTTCAAAGTTTCTTGACATAGTACAGTACTTTTTCTAACAACATTAATAACTCTTCTCAAAGATAGTGAGAGCCCATATCAAAAGGGCATCTCACCTGAAACTACCAAATTTAAGTGCCAATGGAGCAGCCACTCATAAGGACATTTGGGGTGTGGGGGAGGACATCTAGGGTTGCATTGGATGCCTAATGTCTGTGATTTCTATCAGACCAGACCTTAAGAGGAACTGGGTTTGAAAATACCAGATCGAGGTATTAGTCTAACTCCAGAACACAGTATAAGAAATCTGCATCTGGGGTCCAATTTGTGAATTTGCTTCTTGATAGGCCCAGATTAGAATGGGTTCAGTCCTAAACCAATTGTCTAAACCCAAACTACAGATGGGAGTGAGATGTCAATTGTTTTTTGGTAAAAAAGATAATTCATTAACAGAAACCAAAACAATACAACAATTAAACAGAAAAACACATTACAAAGTCTTTTAACAGCAATTCAGAAAGAAAAAAGGGAATGGCAATGCTGGACAAGAAACTAGAATAGAGTCCTCTCCTAGTCACAGCATGAGCCACTCCATTCCTAGACCTCAAACAAAAAATGAACCTGTAGTTTCTTCTCACAGCAGCTTCCTTAATGTCTCCACAGCAAAAAAAAAAGATGTCTGAATTAACATCAGAAACAAGATTACAGCAAGACATAACCAGATTAGCACAGTCAGATTCAAAAATCACATTTGATAACTCTAGCTGATCTGCAAAAGAGACCACTTGCCACAGAGTTTTAGCCTCAGCTAAGCGGGCCAAAACCAGCACCCCAGGAGTGAGATGTCAATTTGAGACGAGTCCAGATTTACTCACAAAAAAAAAGGATCATTTACTAAAACACCCCCTGTAGTTTCATGAATTCACTAAAACCTATTTATAATTTGTGTTTTACTAAAATATCTCCTATGGTTTGTAATCAATTTACTTAATCAACCTTCTATGACATGAAAGTAAAAATGACAGTTTTAACCCTAACATCCATTCAAATAAATTTAATAAAAAACTAAAAATAAAAATGCTATTTTTGTCCATACATCCCAATCTCATAGTGGGATGTATGGACACAGATCATGTTGGGACTGCTTTTGTTGTGAGCATATCTCATCATATTTGAGACGTCACAGTTGATTTGGTCCAGACTTCAGATTGTATTTGAGAAGCAAGCCTACATGTATGTGTTTGTGTGTGTGCACAAGCATTTATATTGAAAATATTAAATGTCTTTGTTGTTTATTTTTGAATTTTCATAGGAAAGCATCCTCCTTGACAAA